CAATGCAATTTTATGGTCACAGATTTTAAAAGAACTACCAACTATTTATATTTTTAAAAATACAGATTCTTTCGGCAGTTAACACCTAAATAAATACTTTCCCTGGGATTTTACTAGATACTATCTGTAACATAACAGAAAACATGTAAAATAACGAACTATTATTAAATATTAATATTAACATGCACTATTTTTCTATCCTTAATATACACTTGTTTTCTTTCAAATATGGCAAATATATGTTAAGACATAAAACTTTCTGCTGCTTTAAATAGATCAAAAATAGTGTAAGGATGAATAACTATTTGTAAAAAAAACAACAACAAAAAAAACAACAACCCAGATATTAGATGTAATGTAACGAAATAAAGAAATCTGTCAAATAACAGTTTATTAATAAATATTATCATTAATATTTACTATTTTTCAATCCTTAATATAGTTTTTCTTTTAAAGTATGGTGAACATCAGCAGAAATGGTGTCATTTTACAAAAACTACAGTTGTGTTTTGTTTGTTTGTTTGTTTGACTGCAACACATAAATAAACACTTTTAATTTTCATAGTGATGATCTGTAATCTAACAAAACTAGGAGCATGTGTAAAGTTTTCCCTATTGTGTAAAAACAAGAGTAAATTGTTGTTTTTTTTGTTTATTTGATTTTTTAAAATGTCAAAAACGTACTTTTTTAAAATAATGTATGAAATAAAGCATCCAGGTTCTGAACATGGGTTTTAAACACAACTTGCTGCAGGAGGTAACACCTTCCATGTACCACAAGGACCACAAACACAACAACTGAGCAGAACGTGTAAGTTTGAAATCGGTTCAGCTGTTTAGCTGCTGCTCCATTTACTTTGCTGGAAGGTCACATTGCAATATAATGTCAACCACTGTGTCAGCTCCAGTCTTTTTTCTTAATGAACCTTTCTAATTACGCCTCCTCGCTCTGAGAGAAGGGCGGATATGATGAGAGGTGTCCCTGTAAGGTGAGAAGAACAGGAGCTGAAGTGTGCGCGCAGCCTTGTATGGGTGTTGGTCACATATATGTCAACCTTGCTCATTAGTTGGGATCCTTGAATGATCTGAATCTTCTTGGGCCTTCACTCATCAGTCAGTTAAGAGCTCCATCCGGCAGCTGCTCAGCGCGTAAAGAAGACCCAAAACCAGAGCTGACTGTGGGGATGCATCCCGCTTCAACCACCTCGACGCCTTTTTCTGTGAGGGATATTTTGAGGCTGGAGCACCACCACGACTATGAAAATGAGTTTTTGATGACCGACCAAGTTGTTCCGATGCACCATCCGCACGTGCACGTTGCGTCCCGGCAAACAGACTTCTATGAGTGCCAGCCGGAGCCGTGCGTCTCTGGGATGCCGGAGCTCGATGCTCACAAATCAGCAGCAGAAGAGGAGATAAATGAGCAGGGTGAGGGGACACATGGCCCACAAACGATCTACTTTTTATACCCTGATGGTTGGTTGGGTGGGTTTAGGCCGCTGGACGGAGTGGAACCTGGACGCACCTGGATGACCTGCCACATTTTCCTTTACATCTTTGTTTGAAAAAATAAAATTAAAAAAAATAGCAAACTATTGACAGGAATTTGATTATGTATGGGGAGGCTCTTGTATTTGCAATATTTGGCACCAGAAATCTAAAAGTAATTAAAGTAAATTTACGAGGATAAGAAAAAGCACGACTACGGTGAGTTTAAGAGAGAAGTTGGATGCACATTTTTCTACAAATGTCATCTTTCATTATGTAAAACATCATCATGTAAGTCAGGAAAAGTGGAAAAACTTGATGGTATAACCAGGTCTGAGTGAAAATGTAAACACGTCCAAATATTCTGATGTTTCTTCCAACTCAGAAAAGTTCATCCTCTACAACTTTGTGATGTTTCTTTTTAAAAATAATAGTAATAATACAAAAAAGTACTTTTATTTGTCAAACAGGTGGCAGGAGTAGGTTATTTCTCATAGAAATTATCTTACAAAGCACATAAAGCAAGTGGCTTATTAAAGAAAGAAAGAAAGAAAGAAAGAAAGAAAGAAAGAAANTTTTTTGTCTCTTACCAGCACAACCTGTCATTATAGTCCTTCTAAAACCTACTTTGAGCACAGATCATCCAACATGCTGGAATAACTTCTCATGTATGTTCATTATTGGTAAAAGATGATAAAGGATAACCTAGGATTACTCACCTCTTAAGACCCGAACACTATATGTAATTTTTTTTTTTTTTAATTTCCCCTCACTATTTGATCAGATCAAATATAAAACAAAATAAAGAAAATACAATATATATTTTTTAAAAACAACAATAAAATTATATATATATGTAATTTATTTTTTAAAGTAATTAATTTATTTTTGATTAATCACTGTGGTAATACAACCCGAAATGTGATGTCCATGCATGTGGACGTCAGGTCTTAAAGGCTAAACATATGAATTGGGCTCCTATAAGTTAACACATACTAATTCAAACATGAACTTACAACATAAAGTCAATGCTTTCCAGGTTGTGGGAGGCACAAGTAATAGGTTACAGCCAGGATACATCCAAGTGCTGCATAAATGAATCATGACTTGTCCAGTGGCTGCGCATTAAATAAGCTTGTGGTTTGTAACCCTGTCAGCCTATAAAGTGTCACCATTAAATGCCTTTATCTATTATGACTCCACTTGTCAAGGACCCTTTACCAGATTCAATAACGTGCACTGCGGGGGGACAGGCGGCTCTGTGGCCGTCTGTCGGTGCTTCTGTCTGCGTGGAGGCGCGCCTCGGCCTCAGTCAAGCATCGCGGGCTGGCGCCGCTGCCTCTCCACTTCCACAACATCAGGTGTAAAGTTACTGTTTGTTGTGGCCTCAGAACACTAATAACACGGCCTGAAAACAATGTTGATGGTAAAGCTGTTCAACATCAGCCGAGATCACTCAGATCCAGCCCAGAGGAGCTGAGAGCTGATCGATGGGCTCAGCTAGTTTGGGTCGACGCTGAATAAATGAACCGCCTTCAAAACAGCAGCTTGATTAGTGTGGGGGAGCTTCACGTGTTTCTAGTAATACAACAACAATCCGGTCATAAAGGTTATTTGATATAATTCTATTAATCATCTGGGTGTCGACACTCTAAAAAATAAGCAGTAGAAAATGGCGAAAATTTGGCAGAAAGGATTCCAGAATATATGCTGAAAAAACAACAACAAACAAACAAATAAAAAAGGTGGGATGCTGTATTGTTGTGAAAGTTGTAAACACTGAGAAAATAATTTCAAATATTTGCATTTTTTTAAAAAGCTGACTTAAACAGTAAAAAAATAATAAAATGTATTTATGTTTTTTTTTAAGAATAAAGTATTTTTTTGTTGAAATACAGATTTTTGATGTTTACATTCTTTACACTTTTGTCTCTCTTTTTTTAAATTTATCCATTTATTTATGTTGACAGCCAACATGTAAATTAATGCTTTTTTCAAGGACTTCACAAGATATTTTATTTCTCTTTCAGAATATGGCAAATCTGCATAAAATATACATATATTCCGCTGATAAAAAAAACAATTGTAAAATCAATGCAATTTTATGGTCACAGATTTTAAAAGAACTACCAACTATTTATATTTTTAAAAATACAGATTCTTTC